TATCCTTTTCCTCCGCTCGGCCATTCAAACAACCACTTGCGCGAAACGTGTAATTGTACTTACGTGCTGGCACAATGTCACGTGCAATTGTGTCTGAATCGTTCCTTCAATGCGACAATGTACTTCGAGGATCCCTTTTTATGTTTCTCCAAGCTTATGGTTAGGGAAGTTCTGTTGCCCGCTGATGAGATGATAAACGTATGTACTTTTTCTATTTATTGTGATGTAAATGGAAGTGTGAAGGTACGTGTGTAAAAGAGCGTGTAAATGTGGAAGGATGGCGTAGGATTGAATTAATTCTCTAGTCAATGATAGAGCTATATTTAGCAGAAGTATGTTAATTGTTAATACCGTGGTATTTTCATCGGATGATTAGCTTAATACGGATTGGATTTTCAATCACTTTGTCTGCAACTTTTTTACCTGGTCGAGATTTAAAATTTTAAGAACTTAAAATTAGTGTATCGACAATCGATGCAAGTTTTTCTGGCATCCACGTATGGATCTAAAAATACTTACAAAGCATCTATCTATGCAATCTTAAGGTCAAATAATCGTGCGTAACAATTATGCAAATTAATGAGTCCACCATAGAAAATGAATTTCTACAGGTTCAGAATTGAAAATGAAGTAAAGAAAGAAGGAAACGGGCGATATCGTTAAGCGGATAGATAGAATCGAGAGGAATTAGTTAATCGGATACAAGGAGAGACATGTGTCGCCGATTAATACGCGATATCGCGTTCGAGCACGAAACGGTGGCAAGCACTTCTCGATTCACATTTGACGCTCGAAGACGGCGGCGTAACTTGCTTAACGGCGGTGATTCGTGAGTCGATAATCGATGGAAGGGCGCCGGATGGAAAATAGAGAAGCAAGGCTACAAAGCGAGCTGGAAGTGGGTAAGTTGTCGAGCGAAATGTTATCGCGCGCCGGATCGTCGGCAGGGGTTGAATCGGGTAAAAGGGAACTGAATGGGGCTGCAAACGGGGGTTGACGAGCTCCGAGGGAGAAGGAGAACAGAGACAGACGATAAACGTGGAGAAACGAGGAGAAATGTGGAAGGATTTAAGAAGGGGAAAGCATCGATTACTTTTCTTGACCTGGACAATATCCCTGTTCCCTGCTACCTATTATCCACCAATGCACCGCGAAACCGTACGTTTATTTGCACTTTTCCGATTCTTTTCAACGGGACCGGAATATTTCTGTATACTGCCATGCGGACATGAATATGTATTTATTGACCGAGGTGTCTCGTTTCCCTTCTTTTCTACTTCTTTTTACTTTTACATTTTCTTTCCACTGAAAGAACGATATTTTGTGACAAACATTACGCTGCTAATTAAATCGCTTTCGCTTATTTTGCTGAGTATTCGAACTTTATTGTATGGATTCATTGCTAGAAGTATAATAGACGATTATTCGAATCACTCAAGACTTGTCAGCTATATCGACACATTTTTCAAAATCTTATCAAAATTATTCAGAAGTGCTATTAGGATTAAGAACGTTCTTAGATGAAATGTAATTTATGTTCAATGATGACGAGGTGAACATATCAGACATATGAACAAGTGCCCACTAGTTTAGAAAATAATTACCAAAATTTTCAGCTAACTGCAATTAAGAATCTTTTGAACATAAGACCTTCCATGCATTGCTATTAAATAAAATCCAGTACCAATAGAATTGAAACCGAACGTCACTTAAGAAGTATTAAACCGATTGGCTAATATACATAGCAAAAAGGTATGACCTACCGGATAAGATTCCTAGAACGTAAACATCAATTCGCATAGAACCAAAAGGAATTGATCCCAAAGAAAAGCCGGGGTTTTCTTTCAGAGGGACGCTCGTTTCGAGCGTCCCGACGATACCTCGAGTCGAGTGCTTCCTTTGGGATTTTCCGCCTTCGACTCTCCATCAACCGCCACTTTTCTCCTCTCTTTCTCTGTTCCGTCCCGTAAAGCGACGGCCTCTCTCTCCGCGTCCTCCTCTTTCAACCAACCCTCTCTTTCACCATAGTCCCGAGGTGGCAAGCAAAGAACTCTCCTACCCTCTGGTTGCTCGCACTGATTTTCTACCCTCTGCTACTCTTCCCTCTCCGCACACCTCCTCCTCGTGCTGCTATCCGCCCTCGACCCCGCAGCGTCACTCGTAGTCACGCTGCCAACACGTGCTCCTGTTTACCTCTCCAATCACATGGTCCGGGTCGTGGCGTAGTTCACTGACGGTGTCATTTCATCGAAAATATCTGACGCGCGTGTGCGAGCCGGTTAATTGGATTCATGACGAGTGCATGCGTGTTCGACACGCACTTCGTACGCCCGCTCGAAGGGGATGATTCCGCTGATGACTCCGATCGGAACGTATCTGCGGTTCTTTTCGAGAGATCCAGTTGTTTGCCGCGTTTCGAGGTGAAACGTGCGGGGGATAACTTGCTCTTTCATTTTCCTGCTCCGCGAATTTGCGATGCTATTTTTCAGCGAGGATTTCACAGATTATTTACAACGATTTTGACCATTGTTTTGCGTGTCACTTTTAGATGCTTATGGATTAAATATATTTGTGCGGTTGTTCGGTATAGTTTTATTGAGAGGATTGTTCGAGTTTTGCAGATTTTTCGGATTGAGTACAATTATTATTAAACGTGTTGGAAATTTTTGCGACAATCAGGTGGTTTTGAACGTCTTTGAGGTTATTGAAAATTTGTGTAGATTCAAATAGATTATTGTGGATTAATGTACATAGATATGTTGAGAATAGTGAATATATGATTCTCCAGGGAAAAATCTCTTCTCAAGAGAATACTAAATTTATTTAAAATACAAAAGTCAATATGAAGCACTCACAACAGCTATTGATGATAAATAGTTCCCCTGAGGAGAATGACTACACTGTAACGAATCGATTAATTTTATAAATCAATTTCTAATGTCTGCACGTCTACGTGAAATCTAAATATACGAGTTTCATTAAAAAGGAAAGAAATGACACTTGTGAACCGTATAAAAATATCTGTCACTTAAACAGAACATATAAAAAACCTAGTAAAAGTACATATCATAAAAATTCAATATTTTGACCAGAAATAAATGCTCCTTTTCCTCTACATTTTTAACGATGTTGAATAATAGGTCATACCGATATAATCTGTCACCCAATTCTAAATAAGTCAAGCAGGTGAAATGCAGAAACAATTAACATAACATTTTTGTTCGCGTTGAAAGTCGATTCGTAAGAGCACTGAGAAAGATCGGCGATCACGTTGCACTTACTTGCACGATCCTTCAATTAGCATTTTCAGGTCACACTGGACGCGGACACGTTCGCGATCGCGCATAATTATCACCCTAATTATTGGAACGCAGCTAAGTAGCCGCAGGGAATTATCGCCCAGCTTCGGGCGAACCTTTCGCATGGAACCCAACGCCTGTTTCAATCTCTCGCTAGGCAACATTCCCGCGTGGCCAGGCCCCGGAGTAACTTTCTTAATTACAGAGATTAACTTCATGCTATCGGGGCAACGATTATCGCTCGCGAGCCTCGCAATTGCCAGCCAGATATAAATACACGCCGCTGCGGCGTACCGAATTTTGATGGAAACACTTCTTCCCTTTTCTAACAACGCACCGACAATCTACAATTTATCCTAGACATCTACCGACAAACTTCATCTTGATATCAAACTTCCTATCTTTCCTTAACAAACGTTCGTAATAACATTATTCTACTTGGATGCGCTTAATAAATTTCTTATACACAAATTTATATTCTGTAATACTAGTCATTACTTATCAAGGTTACTTTTTCCTTGGCTTTTGATTTGTTTGTCAGGTACGTCAGTGGGAACAGTCGCAATATTAGGAAAGGAAAAAACAGTTAAAATTTTGATTTTGTATTTAACAATTTAAGTTGAAGCATACTAAAAATTCGTGTAAGATTTGTCACAGCGTGAGTGCGTCACGTGTGGATATTGTAAGGCAACAGGTTAACCATTTCAAAATGGACATATGTGACATTGGACGTTGTAAACGTAACATGCAATCGTTTTATTTTACAATTTTAATTTTCTGCTCGAACTTTTGCGAAATTAATCCTTAATCATATAAGAGTTGATAAATGCTATATTTTTACTTTTTTCACATATATTTCTCTTAGGTATTCGATTGTATTGAATTAATAATACCGATCGCTGACAGCTATTCAAGTTTACGTGTCTGACAACATATGTCCATTTTCACTGTCTATAAAATTATTCTGCAGTTTTAACATAACAGTAAGAAATTTTTAACACATTTCATAAATCGAACGGGTGGAAAGAAATGAAATTTTTAACTGCATCAAGAATTTTGAACCTTTCCCAAAGTTTAATATAGTACACTATTTATTTTAAAACAGACACACGTTCTGATTTAAATACATTTTAATAACATTTTAATGACATGAGTTATGAAATACTAATCACATAACATGACAAGGCAAGAATTGAGGAATTATGTACTCGTTTTCCTAATATTCAGTTATAGCGTGTCTGACTACGCATGTCCGTTTCTACTGCCCCATCCCTCTAATAAAACCTATCTGTCCACGTACATTTAACACGTTTGCGTCAGAAATTTAATAAGAAGTTTTACGTACACATTAAAAATGTAGACACATAATTATAATCATTCAAACTTTTGCTCTATTTTATCACTTGATACCTCAGAATATTAATATAATATCAAATCTATGTAGAATATTTTTTAGTTCACCGCTCCTAAGTTTGTGATATGTTAGTACCTCGGAGTTCATCGTGTTAATAAATAACCGTGTCTGACGACATACGTCCGTTGTCACCGCGACAGTCAACGCGTCAGGCTAATCTCGACTAATTGTCAAACTTTCACGAGCTTCGTTCCGAAGACACAGTTCACTCGACATATTTAAACGACCTAATCAAGAGTAACTTCTCGATTTCGTATGTATAAAAATTGAGAATCGACATTACTCACCTGAGGCGACTTGCGTCTGACGTGCGTGGGACTTCGTCTTGACGTAGGTTTTGTCGACTGCCGTTTAATTATTTAGCTCAATGCCACTAGTTGTTGGATCGAACCGAAATTCGTGTTTCTCGGTGTCGACGAATAGTCTGTTCTCGACAGTTGTCGGTAGCCACGTAACGATCACGATCGCGTCTCTGTCCCAAGTTCCAAGCACTTTCGCGTGTTTCTCCGCCTTTCTTTTCCACGATCACTAGGCAATTTTCTAGCGACCGGTTACGACGACAACGAACAGTCCGGATGGTGACGGTGAACCGATATCGACGGACAAACGATTCACAAATACATCGACCGCCGGTGACATCAGCCTACCATAATTACGCCGGGTAATTGCGAGTAATTAGGAGCGATTAAGCAGCAAACTGTTAATTGCTCGAGACCCGATAATACGTCACTCGATTCTTCGATCGCTCTCGTCGGATGTGCACCCGGAAGGGAATGTCAAAATCGTTGCTGACGAGCACCGAACGACGAAAAAACACAGCGTTTCACCGGTTCGTCAAACGTAAGCGTTCCTCTGCACACTCGGTCACCTTCGAGATAACGCGCGGCGTGAACGCGACGTAGTCGGTTTAATGCGATTTTAATTATTCTATTTGTCAACGATGTGCTCGCTGTCCGTGCTTATCGCCTCGATTCCACGCCGAAGAATACAACGGCGATCACGCGTCGTAATTATCCGCGACGATAATTAGGAGCTTATTAAAGTCCGAGTCCTTGCGAATCCGCGATGCCGAGTCGTTACACACGATACAGTCGGTCGTACCGGCACCGGTGAACGTTGATCAATCTTTCGCAGAATGTCTACGCTTATTGCCGTGCAATTAACTCGGCCACCACCTGTCCGTAGCACCTGCCACGCGTTTAATTGCCTCCCGCACGTGGCCCTCGTGATAATGTACTTTCGACAGTCTTCGGCCGGCCGAAACCGACAACGTAGAACGCGACTGCGAACGAGTCCCTCGAAACGATCCGAACGACGAGTCCGAAGAGGATCGGCTCTGGCAGACGAGTAGTCGATGCGCGTATCGGTCAGACGATTCTCGGACGATCCACTTATCCCAGCGGATCCCGTCAGATCACCAGTAGACGTGTCCACAAAACAAACAGTCAAGCGTACGTGTACGTGTGTCCCTGTCCACGTGCCGACTGAACGAGTCGGCGCACGCACCTCTACGCTCTGATTCCCTGATCACTCTCGAAGCACACCCTGGCTGATCACCAACGTATCACAAACTTCCTCCACTTGCGAACTTCTCTTCCTCCGGTCCACCACCTTCTTGACCAGACGTCCCACCGGGCTAGGCCGACGACGGTCGTCCTCCGGGTGAAATTTCCTCGAATCCCTCGAAAACACCTCGGCTGGAGTCGGTGCACCGCGAACGATGAGAGGGGGCTGGCGTCGATCAAGGAGGATCGATCGATCCCGGTTCGCTGCTGGCGGATCACACGCTCCGTAGATTCTCGTGCTCGATGGCAGCGTGGTATACACGTTGCGCGGTCGATGCTCGGCGCGAAAACTTGGACCTGAATCCTGACGGTTCGCAGTCTGGCTGCGTAGTGGCCCCGCTGTTCAACCGAGGGAAGGCAAACCCGCCGTGGCTTCTCTCCCGCCTAGCTGCCGACCAATGCTAGCTTCGACTGGAAGGGGTATCGTGGGCGGTCCCGGGGGCGGTCCCGATGCGCGGAGGTGGTCCGCGAGTTACTCGCGGGATCCCGTTGTTATGATTGTTATGAGTGTCCGAGCTGCCTCCTGCGAGGTGCCTTTGGGGGTGGAACGCGGACGCGCGAGAGGGACCCTCGTCTGTCCCCCTTTTTCCATCCCGCTACTGTCTCTCTCTTGCTCTGTAATATAACCACCACGAGCTCGAACGAGCTCGTAACCGTGATGCAAATCAGCCTGACGGGGCTGAAGAGTACTTCGCCGGGGAAACCCGGGAGGAGCGATTGCGGCCAAGGACCGATCTCGCGGATCTGCTGGCTCTTCCAGGAGGGACACCGGCTACGGAACCCGCC